CAGTCGAGGGCTGCTTGCCGTCCAGAGTGAGCAGGACAGCACAGTGACAGCGGGTGGGATTGGCAAGCGCCGCGCACATGAACACACGAGGCCTGCACTCCTCAGACACCAGGGAAGGGCTGGGACGGATCCCATTTTACCATCAGAAACAGGCCCGGAGGGACCCAGGGGGGTTCCTGGAAACATAGCCCGGGTTGCTCCCGACTAGGTGACGTTTCTCAGGCCACGGTCCCCAGATGCACACCCGCCGAGAGCTCAGGAGACGCCCGAGTGAGGCCGGGCGGGTGCGCCAGCCCGTCACGTCTCCCGTGAGAAGGCAAGACGTGTCCTCAGCCGCCAGCAGACCGGGGCTCTGCAGGACCGACGGATGAGCCCTCAGTGACAGCGGCCGCGGGGCCGTCCCGGCAGGCGGCTCCCACTAGGAAAGCAGGAGCAGAGTGCGCTGCTTCCGCTCTCAGCCCGGGAGAAGCCAGGCGCAGGCCACTTCCCCGACGCCACGGGCTCGGGCGAGCGTCCTGGACGCGGCAGAGGGAGCCGGGAGCCCCGCAGACCCGCCTTCCAGAGCCCCGCCGCTGCCGTTCTGAGCCCTGAGAGCTTCGCTTCCCGAGAGCCCGCCCCAGGCCGGCCGCGCCGTGGGCCTGAACGTGACCTTGGACCCCCAGCCCCACCCCGACTCCAGGCAGATGCGACTTGCTCACTGTGCAGAGAAAGCCGCGGCCGGGGAGGCCAGAGAAACTGCCGGAATCAAACCCAGGCCCGGGGAGAATCTCTACTCCAGCCTGTGCCTTCTGCCGCTAAGATAAAACCCAGCATCACTTGCATTCCGAGTAAACACGACCGACTCTTCATTAAGCAGTAAGTAACCCGCATAAGCCTATTCTCGTACCAAACTGCACACGCCATGGGGAAAGAGGTTTCCGGAGCCAGCTCCTCTCACCTTCACGCCTGATGAGAAACAAGACCGCGGACTCGCTGTGACAGGGAAAGGGCACCCCCCCCCCAACTTCCAATGCCAGGCCCCCAGGGAAGGGATTTCTCCCCTCTCCCTGTCCTGGGCTCTCTCTAAGCGCTGAAGCCAAACTGTTTCACAACATGACGTATAACAAGCAGAAAGGGACCTTCTGAGGGACGTGTCCAGAGGGACGAAAAGACCACCAGCACAAACGAGGACTTCGCTCTCAAATCCACGCCTTGGGGACTGTCAGGCAGCCTCAGAGGAGCGTGTGCTGGGGACAGACCTGAAAGCCACTGCGTGGCAGCTTCTGTAGGACCAGGCTCAAGGCAGATGGGTACAGAGTGCCCTTTCTCTTCCTAAGAAGGAATTCTGGACCCCAGCTTTATGTTGGATCACTAAAAAACACAACTATTGGCCAGGTGGGGTGGCTCCCCCCTGTAGTCAGGAGTTTGAGACCAGCCTGAGCAAGATGGAGACCCCGTCTCTACAAAAATAGAAAAATTAGCTGGGCGTGGTGGTGGCACCTGTAGTCCCAGCTACTCGGGAGGCCGAGACAGGAGGATCGCTTGAGCCCAGGAGTTTGAGGCTGCAGTGAGCTGTGATCACACCACGGCGCTCTACCCAGGCAACAGAGTGAGACTCTGTCTTAAAAAAATGAAAAATAAAAAACCACCACAACTTTCGGTGGCTTTTCGCTGCATCGGGAACAATGTCCACAAGCCTTAGGATGGTGTCCCAGGCACACCCCGAGTGCCCATCCTGCCCAGGTGGGGCTTCAGGCCGCCCCTGCACGTGGAACGCAGCTGTCTCCCTCCACCTGTGACACTGATGCACGCACCTGCCGCAGGACCTCCCAGATGCCCCCTGGCGGGGGAGGGTCTCCCCTTCTAGGACCTCCATCACGCCTCTGGGGCCCAAGGCAGAGCACCCCATGACCAACAGCCTCTCCCAGCCCCAGACAAGCCCATTGCCCTCTCTCCGCGAGGTCCAAGCGTTTTTTTTTTTTTTTTTTTTTTTTTGAGACAGAGTCTCACTTTGTTGCCCAGGCTAGAGTGAGTGCCATGGCGTCAGCCTAGCTCACAGCAACCTCAAACTCCTGGACTCAAGCAATCCTCCTGCCTCAGCCTCCCGAGTAGCTGGGACTACAGGCGTGTGCCATGATGCCTGGCTAATTTTTCTATTTTTAGTAGAGACGGGGTCTCACTCTTGCTCAGGCTGGTATCGAACTCCTGGGCTCAAGCAATCCTACTGCCTCAGCCTCCCGAGTAGCTGGGACTACAGGCATGCGCCACCATGCCCGGCTAATTTTTTTTCTATATATTTTTAGCTGTCCAATTAATTTCTTTCTATTTTTGGTAGAGACAGGGTCTCGCTCTTGCTCAGGCTGGTCTCGAACTCCTGAGCTCAAACAATCCGCCCGCCTCTTACAGGCGTGAACCACCGCGCCTGGCCGGTCCAAGCATTTTTGAACGCGGCTTCTCCTTGTCTGACACACGGCCCTAGACTACACTCGCCGTTGCAGACAGCACACCCCTTTGCCACTGAAAATCCTCTTTCCAACAAAAAAGGCAATAAACTCCCCCTCGCCGTACACACACAGGTGAGTCAGAGAAAAACAGCTGCAAATGGCTGAAGGACACACAAGAAGTGTCGCCCTCATTCACACGAAAGGGACCCACACCCAGGGTCTAAGAGTGTTGGCAAGGGCACATGTATTCTAGAACCTATCTCAAGGCTACTCCTACTTGACCAAAAAGAACCACTGGAAAGCTATTTAAAATATTTCTAAAAGCCTTATTAGCACAAAAGAAATCCACAAATGCGTGACTTAGCACAGCCTCTTTGGAAGGCACTTTAGCGACCAAATTAGAGTCCGTACACCCTAACCCCAAATGTCCTCCTTAGGGGTATGGGGGGGCGGGCTAAGTACACTTGTTCAGCCGGTGCCATGAAGTGTGTCTTGGCAGCTAAAAAGCCGGAGGCCCCCTCCGCGCGCTGATGTGGAAACATGGCAGTATCATTTCAGCCTCAAAAAGGACAATAAACACACTACAATCCGGTTGATATCTTAAAGGAACAAGCCCACCGTCCGTCTGCAGCAGAGAAAGCTCTGGAGGGACAGGCTGTCAGCCACAGCGACCCCGCGGAGGGGGTGAAGTAGGAAGAGCGAGGATCTCCTATTTTACCCGATACACTCCACATTGTCCGAGTTTGTAAATGATAATGTATCCACGCATGACTCGCTGTTTCATTAGAGAGAGAAAATTAGAAAACCCTTCACCCTAAATCTCCCTCTGCTGGCCAAGGAGCACGTCCCATGACTTTCTCCGAGCACCAGCAGGAAGACTCCGGACACGGCGTCCAGGGACCCGTTTCTATGGACGAGCCCTTTGAAGACTCTCTCCACGTCGTCCCGTGCTGGCCAGGACACTGAACAGCACCTAGAAACAGCGAAAACTGGACAGGTCGAATTCTCCCGTGACAAGACAGGCAAACGACGTAACCTCCCCCCCAGAGGCCTGTCCTTCCGTGGCAGGGCCTTGCCCGGCACCCCCTGAAACCTGCCATCTCTGATGCCCGGCCCAGCGCCACGGTTTCCCAACTCCTGGCCTTAGGCAGAGCAACTACTGCTATTCCTAGATTTGGACCAAACAAAGTTTTTTTAAAGCTGAAACCCACATCGCAGAGACGCCCTACAAAGGCAAATAATGTCCCCTTCACGGTGGTGTGGCTACTCTGTTCAGAGCCTCAGGAAAACTTCTGGTCTCAGGCAGCCGAACAGAACCCTGTTGAGTTTTGCCCGCCACACGCTCTCATTTTTGGAGCACGCCTCAAAGTGCCGAGACGCCTTCCCCACAATGCACAGAGTGGCAGACGGGAAACAGTCTACAGGCCCCAGGACGCCAGCAGCGCCAACAGGCCTGCCATTCACGAGCCACTCCTGGTGATTACAGTCCCTGGATTTCATGGCTCCTGACCCAGAACTACAAATCCAGCCCTCCTAGCCCTGGACCTCTGCGCACTATCAAGATCCAGACTGATCCTTAAACGGGCTGGCCGCTCCGAACGCAAATAAATCTAAGCCTTGGGTGGCCAGGGCTCCACCGTGGGCTCTGAAATCCGGACACTTCCAAGGACACAGGATGAGCTTGAGAATTGCCAAGTCCCCCCCCTCAAAAAAAAAAAAAATCACGTGGCATTTGGTATAAACTATTTTTCCCCCCTGAAATCCCACAAGAAAACTGTTTTGCAGAGCAGCAGTTCCCTCCGACCTGGTGAGAAACATCCTTGCGCCGTGCCCACCACGTCAGGACTATGCCCGAGGGCCATTTCTCAGCACAAGTCGGGACCCCACGCCCAGGTGCACCCAACACACACGTTTAATCGGCAGCCAAGCTCCCCTCTTAGCACTGGGCAACCTTTGGAGAATTCAACACCCACAGGCAACTTTATTACTACTGTTTTCCTATGAGTCAGCCTGTGTCACCGATTGACGACAAGCCGTCTGGAGAGCAGCAATGAATGACTTTTTTTTTTTTTTAGCTGCAATTTCCCTCTTCTCAACCAGTCAGCAGTGGGAGCTCAAACAGGAAGGGCTGCTCGGTCTACACGTGGGTGCCATGCAAGAGACAGGGAGTATTGCCCAGCAAGGGCCAAAGGCAGGCTGGCACCACCTGGAACTGCTCCAGTCTCGATGGATTAAGTAGGGAAGGGCACTGCCCACCGAGGGCAAGGGTCAGGGCAGGGACCCGCTGTCCTCTAACTACAGTACTCCCAGGGCTGCTGGGAGAGGTGTAAACGAATGAATGAAATGCACGTGGGCTGGGGCCAGTGACCTTAGCCTAGAACTGTGGGGGATGGCCCCAGGAGGTGGGCATGGCCCAGGGACGCAGGGATGGTCCAGGGACACGGAATTCGGGGACCCAAGGACACGGGGATGGTCCGGGGACACAGGGATGGCCCGGGGACGGTCAAGGGCCACAGAGACGGCCCGGGCGCATGGAGTCCGGAAACCTGAGGACTACGATCCCCGCCCCATACTCACGCACGCAGAGGCAGGCCACGAGCTTGGCGGCGTCCTCGGGCACCGGGCAGGTGGGGAAGAGCGGCTTGAGCAGGTAGGTGGCGAAGACGAGCGCCACGATGTACTGCGAGGACGGCCGGATGATGAGCAGCTCGATCCAGAGCTTGAGGAAGGCGGGCAGCGAGCCGTACACCTCCAGCATGTAGGCGTAGTCGCCACCCGACTTGGAGATGGTGGTGCCCAGCTCGGCGTAGCACAGCGCGCCCACGATGGACAGCACGCCGCACGCGGCCCACACCACCAGCGCCAGCCCCGGCGAGCCCGCCTCCTTGAGCACGCCCGTGGGCGTCACGAAGATGCCCGAGCCGATGATGGTGCCCACGATGATGGCCACGCCGTTGAGCAGCGTGATGCTGCGCTGCAGGGTCACGCCCTCGCCCTCGCCGCTAGCGGCCGCGCCGTCCGCGCGCCGCGCCGCCAGCATCCTCTCCCGCGCCTGCCGCTC